TTTTTTTTTTTTGCATTTGTTTTTTTTTTCGGGTGGCGGTTTTCTCCCCATTCCCAGAGGAGGGCTCAAATCCGGTCTTCTTCCTTTTTTCGACTGTTCGCGGAAGGGGGGGTATAAATCGGTTTTCAAAGGGCTCAAGGGGTCTAAAGGGGGGTGTCTTAGTCTGATTCTGTTATTTTCTTTTTGGTCTTCGATTCCGTGAGCATTTCCCCCCCCCCCTTCTGATATGACCCTCAGCCAAATGTCGTTTGTATTACAATTCTACACAATTTATTTTTTTCTGGATTGCCCCCCTCCCTTCCCCCCCCCCCCCCCCCCGGCGCTGGGGCTTCCCGGACCCCTACCCGGGGTTCATGCCCGGCCGGGCGCCCGGTAGTGTGTTCGGTCACTAGTCCCACTTACGCTGATCCTTGATTTCTGGTCGTTGATCTTCCAAATCTGCGGTCAGAAATCTACCATTGGGGTGAGTGGGACTGGGCCCCCGGGTCTGCGGTCAGAAATCTACCATTGGGGTGAGTGGGACTGGGCCCCCGGGTTTACGGTTTTCCTTCTAGGCTGTTTTGGCATGCGCCCGGGCGCCCGGGGCCAAGTCCCACTTACGCTGATCCTTGATTTCTGGTCGTTGATCTTCGAAATCTGCGGTCAGAAATAGATCATTCGGGTAAGTGGGACTTGGCCCCCGGAAAACACCACAGCTCCCTACTTCACAAAAAGAAAAAAAAAGGGCCACGGCCTTGAGATATCATCATATATAAAAAAAAAAAAAAAAAAAAAAAGATATCAGCATCACTGAACTGACCGGCGGCCCTACCAGTACTACTTTAATAGGTAATTCATAAGTACGGTATTTTGTTAATCTGACAGCATCTGATATCGAACTCGGGTCTGGATATTGCTCATCAGCTCATGGGTGTACCAATTATCTGACCAAGCTCTGTTATTCGATAGATCCCCTCCTGCCAACACAGTCCCAGGGACTTTTTTTTTTTTTTTTTTCCCAGGGACTTTTGAAAAACAGCCCCGAGTTCGAATCCAGGTCCCCCCAAAAAAGCTCAACGCGACAAACAGAAGGAACCTCTGTTCCTACTGCTACAGGCTCTGCTGCACCAGCAGTAGCAGCATCAACACCAAACCTTCTTCCCCCGAATACAACGCACGGTCATTATAGCTGTATTTGGGGTATCTTTCCGTCTAAATACAGCTATAATGACCGCACGTTCTATTCGGGGGAAGAAGGTAGCGAGCGAACACCAAGGGAAAAAAAAAAAAAAAACACGAGGACTCTGTCTTCCACCGAGCATAACGCACCCTAAAAATGAATGTATACAAGCTATATTTCCGGCCAGATACAGCCAAAATAAGGGTGCGTTGTGTTGGGGGGAAGACTGTAGTCGGGGATCTATGCCCCTTCCTACCGACGAAGTCCCTGGGAACGACAGCAAGCACGGCGACAAACTGAATGGACCTCCCTCTCTCTGGTCCTACTGCTACAGGCTGCGCTATCAGCAGCAGCATAGCCATTAGAAAAGCACCATAAGTAGCAGCAGCATCTGGCTGTACTTGGCTGTATCTGGCCGGAAATATAGCTTGTATACATTCATTTTTAGGGTGCGTTATGTTCGGGGGAAGACGGTAGAGCTTGAGCAAGTAGCAGCTCGCACCATCCGTAGCAGCAGCATCAACACCCTAGCAAGCGACCACCTACAGTAGGAAAAAACACCACAACACCCCTCCGTGCTTGTTACTTGCTCAAGCTCTGTTCGATCTATGCCTTCCTACAGACACACACTCCGAGGAACACAGGCAACCACGGCGACACAAGTGGAATGAACCTCTGTTCTTACTGCTACAGGCTGCACTATCAGTAGCATCATCAGCATCCTACGCAGCCATTAGCAGCTACCGTCTTCCCCCGAATACAACGTACGGTCATCATAGCTGTATCTAGACTGAAATATGCCATAAATACAGCTATAATGACCGTACGTTCTATTCGGGGGAAGGAGGTAGCATCATCAATAGCAGCACTAACACCCTAGCGGGCAAACACCCAGGGGAAAAAACACCACAACTCCCCCTACTTTCTCAAGCTATATTGGTCCATGCAGTGGTAGGAATTTCTCAAGCTATATTTGATCCATCATGGCTTCCTACCGACGACACACTCCAAGGAAGGAAAACACCACACAACTCCCTACTTTCTCGATCGAGTGCCTTCTCATGCCGTCTACCGTCCTAACCCCTACCCTCGCCCACTCGCCCACGACAAACTGGAAGGTCCTTGAAGAAACCAATTAAATAAGCTATATTTTTGTATTTTTTGTGTAATAACATGATGAATAAGTTGTTCCTACTGCTACAGGCTGCACCATTAGTAGTAGCAGCACCATCATCCTACATTGCGATTTAGCAGCACCATCAGGAGCAGCATCAACATCCTAGCGACCAGGCAATTGTGGGGCTGGCACCAGCGAAATCGCCGAGGACAGGATATCCCCGCTAAACTCCCATCCCGAGGGGCTTCGCCCACCCTCGAAGCCCCCTTGATCAGCTCAGTAAGGGTATTTTGCAGCGTCTGGATCTTGCCTCCCGGGCAGTACACACACGATCACCACCGTCCGGATCTCGATTTGCTGGGTGGGGGGATTCCTAACAACAACGAATCAGTTGAGCCTGAGGGCATACTCACTCTAGGACTTCCCTGGATGTATGTGATCGCTTTTCGTCCCGGCCAGGATGCACCTAACCGCGATTACTTCCACAAAGAAGCGGAAAAAGTCCAGTGTTGACGTCAACGTTTTAAATGCGTGTGCCTAATGCCCAAGTGTCCATCCGAATGCCGGCATAGCAGTCAAAGGGTTGACTGTTGACGTCAACATTAAATTTTGACTGCCAAGGCCAAGTTTTGGCAGTCAAAAGTCCAATGTTGATGTCGATGCAATCGTTTCGCTGCTTGTCGTTTCTTGAGCCGTGCGGCGGCGCCCTTGTTCTATTTTGTTGTGTGTTCATCTGATTGCGTCATTGTTGAACTGACAGGCCAGACGTAATTCAGAACCATTCTATTCTATTCTATTCATCTTATTCCATCATCATGGATTCGGACTTGGGTCTGTATTTCAACAGTTAATGGGTCTGCCAACTGATCCAGGCCCCGTTTCGTTTTTGGTTTCGTGTGCCGTTCGGCGACTTCATACTTGCAATCTCTTTTCAATCAAAATTTTTTGTTTTGAGGTTTATAGAATTTTGAACAAATTGTGGGAAAAAACTTCAAAATAAGAGCTCTTTGTCCTTAGTTCGACTCTGTTCATCTGATTGCCGAGAGGCGCCTCTCGACAAATACGTCCAGATTCACGTGTTCAATTCACTCCTCTTTGCGAGTCGGACCTCGCCCTCACACCCACACTCTCTCATGGCGAGCCCGCTGATTGACCAAATTATTTTGGTACTTACCAACTCGTAAGGTGTTTGCCAATTTGTGAATATGGGCCTCGATGCACCACCTACCACATGCACAAACGACAAACATTATGGCAATGCATCTTTCCATGTTGTAGCGGAAGATTCATTCTCATTTTGCACATTTGGTGAGTAGCGAAGCGAAGCACAAAAAAGAAAAAAGAAAAAAGAAAAAAAGAAAGAGAGCCCTATGCATAAGTGTGAATGGTCTTGACGAGCGATCGGGCGTATGTCTGAGGGTGTACCGACACTAGTAGCTCTATATTTACGGCCGTACCTGGTTGCATCTGACGGCAATCACGTCCACAAACAAGTAGGGTGATTGCAGAAAGACGTATATGAGCGGTTTTTGTGTAGAAGAGTAGGGGTCATTCTTGTGGAAAGAAGAGGGGTGGGGTGTTTTTTTTTGTGGAAAGAAGAGGGGCAGGGTGATTGTGTTATGGAAAGAAGGGTATATGGGTGATTCTTGTGGAAAGATGGGCATATGGGTGATTCTTGTGGAAAGAAGGGTACATATGGGTGATTTGTTGTGGAAAAAAGAGGCATATGGGTGATTGATGTTGAAAGAAGGGTACATATGGGTGATTGTTGTGGAAAGAAAGGGCATATGGGTGGATTAATGTTGAAAGAAGGATGCATATGGGTGATTGTTGTGGAAAGAAGGGTATATGGGTGATTCCTATGAAAACGAAGGTTATATGGGTGATTGTTGTGGAAAGAAGGGGGTATGATGGATCGGCCCGTCGAGAGAGTATGGGTGCTTCCCATTTGCGAGACTTTCAGACGTGTCTGAACGGTAGAGGAATGATGCTCTGTGCACAGGGGCAAATTGCTCCTATGCCCCTCTGATCCTAGAGGTTGTATGGTTGATAAATCGCCATTTCACATAAAGGATGCAATTTTTAGAATGCAGATGTATGTATTAAGACACACTCGATGACCATATCCAGATCTCTCTTCTTGCATGGGATGATGATATAGTCTGAACTCGGTTAGCGTTGACTGCGGTTCGTTCTGTGCAGTAGCAAAATTGAGAACGTAGAAAAGCTGGGGCAGGAAAGTGATCAGTGCGCGCAAAGACCCGAGAGACGACGTGGCGATCCAACGACGCGAAGAGCACTGGCACTGGTAATCGGTGGGAAGAGCTAGCGGGGCAGCCGAGGAGAGGAAGCTCTGGCAGGATGCGGGAAAGGTTGTTAGTACGCGTGTTCTCAAAGGGTGTGCGTCATCGCCACGCAGATGGTCGTTGTTGGCCGGTGGACAAGTACTTAGCGTGTGGGAACGGGGTGGGATGGGGCGCTGCGGGAGGAGGAGGAGGAGGAGGAGTGGATGTTCTGTGTGCGAGAGGAGAAGAGGGGAAGGAAGAGTTGTTGCGATCGGAATCGCCGCAGCAGGGCATGGCTGCGTGGCGTCGTGATGGCGGCGATGGGGGGCAAAGGCACTGTCTTGCGCTGGGCGACAGCACCGCGCCAAGTCTGTCTGCCTCCGATGGGCTACTGCTTGGAGGTCTGCATCAAAGAGGTAGCAGAGAAACCGCCCGGGAAGTTTCACCAGAGGGACGTAGAATGACGCAATGCTTTACCCGGCCAATCTGGCGACTGCCGGGTGTCGGACGGGCCGGATTATCCCCAACTTCGGAGGCGTGGAGCACTCTCAAGTCGCGGGCGGATCAAAAGTCCGAACTTGGTGTCGATAGTAGCAGGTACCTCAGGAACAATGACGCGACGCTCCACTTCGCTGGTGGTTATGGGATGCCGACCAATTGCGCAAAGCTCCACTTCGCTGGTGGTTATGGGATGCCGGTCGTCCGGCGCTTGTCAACAGGGGCGGCGACGAGTGCGTCAGGTAATGCGAGCAGCTCCGCTTCTGTCGCTGTGGAAATGGTTAAGTACAGCAGATCTTGCAAGAAGGAAGCCAAGTTCGATGAAGCGGCCAGGGTGCTGGAGCAAGGGTATGCGTTCCTATCCAAGGAAATTGAGGAGTCCTCGGGGAAGGCGCCAGAATTGGCAGTGTTGGTGGCCGGAAGGATGCTTCTCGACATTGCGAGCCTGGCTATGGAGGCCGGAAGGATGGAGGATGCGCAAGAAGCTCTGGATCGCGTTGCTCAGGTGGCTGCTAAAGATCTGGATATGAGGGTATCCGCATTAGAGGCGAAGGTCGCTTTTTTCTTGCAGCATCACAAGGATGGCGAGGCCCGTGCCTGCGCGGAAGCAGCGCTGGACATTGCCCTTGGGAGGGAAGGCAGCAGCAGCAGCGGGACGAACGAGAAGGCGGAGGCCGTTTTATCGTCATCGTCGTCATCATCAGCATTGCGTTCCTCGTCTGCTAAGCTTGAAAGGACTTTTCGCGCCTTTTCGTTGGTGGGGCATGTAGCCCTCGCAGAGAGGAGGATCGAGGACGCTGCCGGTGCTTTTGCGAAAGCACGTGATGCGTGGCAGGAAATCCGTTCTTGTCAGAATGTATCTGCTAGTCCGTCGCTCCCCGCCATCGCCGATGGCCTCAAGGGCCTTGCGACTTTCTCACACTGCTCCGGAGACTTCCAACTAGCTCGGGAGTTATATGAGCACGCTCTGCAGTGCACTAAGTACGGAACGGACCAGCAGCAGTCGCAAAGTGAGGGGCAGAATCTGAACGAGCTCGTTGATGTGGCCATCGCTTCGCAATCGGAGGAGGTGACAATGGATGCGTTGCTTGGCTTGGGACAACTGTGTTCACACATGAGGGAATTTGACGAAGGGGAGAGAAGATTGACAGAAGCCCTTCGCTTTGCAGAGCTGGTGGGCGGAGAGAAGCATCCGCGGGTGGGCATCGTGCTTTCTGCAACCGCTGAGCTGTACGCGAAACGCTCACAGCTTAACGGAACAGGGGAGACACTAGTTGCCGAGGGATTGTTCCGGCGAGCCTTGCAATTACTTGGTGCTTCCGTATTCAACCTTAAGGATCAGGTGTGGAGTGAGCAAAAGTACAGTGATGTCATCGCCTTGACAAGAGCAAGATACGCTGTCGTGTTGAGTGCCTTTAAGAACAGGGAGCAAGAGGCGCTGAGAGAGAGCAGATGGGCGGAGAAAGAATGGAAGTGTGCTGCGCCTCTTCGCCTTGCCGTCAATATGCAGCCCATTGCTGTTTCTGGTACGCAACTGGCAGAGGAGAATCAGATGGAGGAGGATACAAGACCTCAGCTGGATTATCCTGTCCTGGACGCCAGGCTTGGCCGGGTGTTCTTCTAGAAGTTTGTCTAGTCATAAATAGAGATGGAAAGTGTGTGTGTGAGAGAGAGAGAGAGAGAGGAGAGCGAGCGAG